GGTAGTCTTTAATGGCCTCGATCTTTTGTGGGTTCGGTGCGATTCCGCCTGGCCCCACTTGATGTCCCAGAAATTTCAGCCCTTCCTGTGTGAACAAATGCGTCTTCGACGGCTTTAGCTTCAAGTTGTTTTCTCTCAGTAATTTTAGGACTTTGCGCCAGGTCTGAATGTGATCTTCAAAAGTTGGCCCGTACATACATAGGTCATCTATAAACAAAACTAATCCTTGTTCCGACAGAAGGTCTCCAAAAATTTCTTGCCCGAGCCTGGCAAAACAAATTGGGGACGAGCTAAGCCCTGTGGGTAGAATGTTCCACTCATAGGTTGCCCATGGTAGAGTGAAAGCAGTCTTGTGCTTGTCGCCTTCGTGAATTGGGACTTGATGAAAGGCCGCCGCTAAATCCGTGGAACTAAACCATTTTGGCTGGTTTTCGCCAATCTTTGCCAAGAGCTCGTCAGGGTTTGGTAGGGGAAACATGCGTTTTTTGCATATCGCGTTTAGCTTTTGATAATTTACGCATAAGCGTAAGCTTTTGTCTGGTTTTTCGACCAGCACCACTGGTGAACTGTACTCAGAATTGCTTTTCCTAATCAAGTTTTGATCAAGCATCTTTTGAATGAGCGTTTTGACTCCTGCTTCTAAAGCCTTTGGGACCCGATATGGTTGGGTTACCACTGGTTCGTCGACGGTGGTTTCGATTCTGTGAATCACGCGATTACACAGACCCAATTCATCTCCATCCATGACAAAACAATCGCGATACTCAAGTAGCATGTTTTGTACATCGCTGAGCTGAGCCGAAGTCAGCTCACCGTACTCGAATGCTTTCAGGAATGCATCAGCACCAGCTGTGCCGGTTTCATGAGCTGAACCTTTTGTCTCCTTCTCGCCGGGAGCTCCCTTCTCCCTCTCTCGGATGACGGTGGCCACAAGGTCATGAAATGGCTGTGCGCTGACTGAGGTCAAAAATCCAACTGGTTCGTCATTTCTGATGACCGCGCCCTGGTCAGACATATTGAGAAAGCCTACAAAAAGGTCATTTGAGTGGTACTGCTGATGATCGAACAAACACGGAATGGGCTGAGGTTCTCCGGCGGAAACGATGTGAGGTTGAAACTCAAAATTTTCCGCGGTTTCCAGAGCAGAGTCCGGTGTGGGTTTCTCGGCCTCAACTCTGATGAATGTTACCGAATGGGGCCCAACGTACTGGTGTCGTCCTTTAGCCCTGATCGGTATCACGGTTGCACATGGTCGGTGGTGATCCGAGTTGAAAAGTCGAATGGGAAGTTTGTTGTATGTAAGGACGTAGTTTGACAACTCGTGTTGAATTTGTCGACTGGGGTCGGCCAAGAAGTCTAATCCTAGAATCGCTTCATAAGGCTGTAGATTTTTTGCTATTTGAAACTGATGCTTCACCGTCACGTTTTCGGAAATCTCAAAAAGCAACTCTCCCGTGCCTAATATTTCGAGTTGTTGACCTGTCACTGATTTTAGGTTTACCTTAGGAGGTAAAAGAGATTCGTCACCATTTGGCTGTAGCTCGCGATAAGTTTCCGCACTGAGCAGTGAAACCGGAGCACCACTGTCCACCAGAGCATACAGCTCGCGCCGCCCGACCTTGAGCTGCATCAGCTGATGTTTGGCCGGCTCGGCGCTGGGCCCTGGGAGTTTTTTGAAGGACACTTGTTGGCAGGGTGACCGTTTCCCTTGCACAGGGCGCAAACAATGTTGCGACAGTCAACCATAATGTGATCAGCCTCTCCACAGACCTCGCAACCTATCCCGACCTGACAATCCCTCTTATAGTGCCCTGGCTTATGACACCGATGGCAGATCACTGGCTTATTGTTGCGATAAGGTTTACTGCGCCGGCCTGGGGTCCTGTTGCGACCACGCGAATTTTCAGGGCCCGAGCTATTTCTCCCGGAGCTGTTGCTGTTGGGAGCTTGGTTTGGGTGAGACCCTGCCTCGAATTCATGCATTGCGTGAATGGTTGACTTTTTCATGTATCTGGCATTTATCTCTTCATGATGTGCCGCTAACTCAACAGCATCTTGGAAGTCTGTGACACGGTTTTCCAGAATGGGACGGCTCAAGAGCGGAGGAAGCCCGGCCGTGAACTGCTCAAGAGCAATTCTGTTAAACATGGTATGCTGGAGCTTCTTTTGCTCGGGGGTACCAAGATCACTTGATAACTCGGGGTATGCTAGTCGAGCGAGTCGACCTACTTGGAGGGCGAACTCACGGACGGGAGTGTCCCTTCCCATTTTCGCCTGCTGTAGCTGGTTGACCAGCTGAGTGGGTTCGATTTTCCCTCCGAATTGGGTCAGAAGGGCACTCTTAACATTTCTCCAGGTTCGCTCTGAGACTGGTTTTGAGGCTAGAAATCCTCTCATGAACTGAACCGCACGAGATGACATGCGGAGCGGAAGGACACGCAAAATCTCCGCATCAGAGGCTTCCGCGATCTCCTTCAACAACTCTACTTTATCGGTCCACTCTGTAATGGCCTCGCCGTTGTATTCTCCTTTAAAATGACCCAGTTGACGCAAGAAAAAGGACTCTACGTGTTGACCGCTGCTCTCTCCTAACTGCAGTGCACGGACGCCTTCCACCACACCGCCCATTCCAGCAGTTCCCCGTATACCGGACTGACCTGGGGCTCCGGACGAATCCACAGGAGCTTCCGGCTGCGGGCGTTCTGATGGGAGGGTGTAATAATTTTCCGAGTACATATTGGTCCCGGTGGTGCCTCCCGCCTGTTGTTCTTGGGACTCCGGATCGGTCATCGTGCTGAAAGCGAAAATAAAACGAGTAGCGTCATGGACTCACGGCCTCTACCCCCAAACTAACCCATCTCTAGTCGGGTATTGACTCACACAGGACGATTGTTTATGCCCACTTTGCTCTGATGGGCTGCAGTCCCAATCAGGCGTGGAGCAGCGCTTCACCCCACACAACGTTTGGCCCGAAGCCGCGCTTGGCCTACCGCTCAGTTGATGGGCTTTGGGTCGTGTACACTTGAAATATGAGACGGTAGCCGGTCCCTCATAAACAATCGTCCCGGGTCACTGGTAGGGCAATCGCGACTTCGATAAGTGCGAATTCCATCGCTCACCTCAAATTTCGTTGCTTTCAGCACAATGCACGAATGGGCCCGAGAACCCTCAGCAATGACGCGGAAGAACACCTGGACATACACTGTCCTCAGAGGCACCCCTCAGCCCCACACTCAATTTGGCCACGCCCCTCCTCCGTCCCTACACCAATCAGACAGAGCGGAGGGCAGGGCCTAATTGCCGCGGGACCGCCGCGAGCCGGCGCTGGCACCCCGCGGTGACTGACCGCGAGGGCCGAGCCGCCCGCCTGGCCCACTGGCCGTGACAGGTTGGGGGAGATGAACCACTGCGAACATGAACGGCCCGATACCTACATACATGCCGTACATTTAATATTAAAGGCAAAACCAAATCACAATATAAAAAATATATTGCAATAAAAACAAACAAACAAAAAAACGTTGGGTTCGCCGCCCTGTTTGGAGCGGAACCGACAATAAATTAATTAGCTCGCCTCAGGCGTGCTTAAAATAAAATAAGTCAGTTTTTTTAGTAATCCCACCGCTGCCACCACTGTGAAACTATTTTTTCTCTCTATAAGTTGTTACGTTCCTTATTTCTATCATTGCTACGGTTGGGATTACTATTGGTAGCGTGGCGTGCCGAAGTTAACTGTGTCGTTTAAAAGGTAGCGTTTGTTTGAGCTTCCGAGCTGCTCTATGTTACGTTTGCCAAGTTCGGTGCCGTTCAGTTCAGTTCGCCGTTCATTCTCTCCCCCACCATTTGTCCCACAACAGACTGTGCAAGTTTTCAAGGTAATTATTTACATGCGCACACATTATTACACTGGTCACGGCTATATACAAAGCCCCAATAAGGGCCGCACCCTTCTACTTAGTACTTACATGGCTGCAGTGCGTAGGTATGAGGGACGCACAACGCGCACGGGCAGTCGACTCCAACACGTAGCTCCCGAGGAGCGCGAAGAGAGAGAGAGATCACTGCGGGACTCAGCTTATATACCGCGCCTCCGGCGGTTGGCATTTGCCTCGGGCGCGGCACGCAAGGCTAGTCCCGCAGGACAGAGCGCACAGAACATGGCAGGGCAGAACAGGACAGAGCAGAACAGTGCAGAGCAGAACAGTGCAGAGCAGAACGAGGAAGTAGATGGTGCCGCCGACTCGACCTAGTAACGGTCCGTCCGGCGGCCGGCCTGCCCTGATTGCTGCCCAGAGGGGTTGTTGTTGTTCCCCTCCAAGTGACAGGCGGCGCCGAACGGTGGGAGTCGGCCGGCCAGGTGATCGTAACAGGTAATGAAGAAGATGAGCTCGCAGGGGCGGTGCCAGGTGGCCCGGCTGGGTCCACCCGCGCCGGCGGAGGCACCTGGGTCTCATGGACTCTCCGCTGGTCGCGCTGCTGCGCCGCTCCGTGGTTTCGCCGCGCCGCGTCCTCCCCTGCGGATGTTTGCGCGGCCCAGCGCGGCCGCTGCCGCATTCCGCCCCCGGCCTCCGGCAATGGGGGGCGGAAGGGATGGTTCTACGCCCATCAGCTGGTGGGGTGACGATGCGGTCGCGTAGCGGTCCGCCGGGTCCGGCGGCAGCCACGGCCTGGCCGCGTTGGAGGGGAAAAGTTTCCCACATTGTCTTACGGAAAGTTCGTTGGCTTAGCTGTGTTTTTGCAGTGAGAAAAAAAAATGCAGCTTTTTATCGGCCAGTTTTCTACAAAAACTGCGCAGCTGATACAGTCAAACATTTTCTTGCTGTTCCACGCTCCAGTGTTCTGCGCTTTTGATGACGTAGTATACCTAGTAGCTAGTTGTTGACCAATCAACTGAGGGTTGACAGAAAACTGAAGCCCAAGCTAGTCAACAGGGTATTATTAGCAGGGTAAAATTGAACAGGGTATTAGCTTGTTTGTGAGTCCCGTATATCTATGGTCCCGTGAACTTTTGGGGGGCGGATTGCGAAAAGCGGAAAGTTATCCGTCGAGGGTTCAGGTAAGAGGTAGTGAATCCGAAACTGCGAAGACCCTATATTTATGCCAGTAGCTGGACATTTTACCTTTTCACATGCTTTTGGTGAATAAATGGCTTAGGCTTCGGATCAAGGCCAAGCTAAGCTGTAATCTAATCTGAATCGTCTTCTCGCTCCTATTCATGTTGCCTTGCTCATGTTGATGGAAATGGGTTTCTTATTTCTTAGCTTCAGCAAGCCTTAACCATCTGTTAAGAATGTGTCATTGTCACCTGCAATATGTCTGTGATCTACAGGTCAATGGTGGAATCTGAAAACAGGGCCCCTGGGACGATTTGATTAAGGATCTTGAAATTCGCTTGACCTAATCATGTGACAATTAGCCTGTTGAAGGCACCAATTGGGGGAGAATATCCCAATAATCCCATGACTAAAAATGCCCTCTGGCACCCTATTTTCATATTCCACCAGGTCAATGGGCAAACTGTTGATCTGCTTCCTGTAGACCTAGGCTGTAGGTAGGCCCTGTTTCATGGTATCATGCTGCGGTGTGCTATGCTGCGCTGCTGTAGTGGTGTAGTGTTTGAGAAAAATTCTGCTTGATACTGCAACATTGTGAACATCTGAGTTTTTTATATTCCCATGGATTGAAAACCCAAATACGCTGGCACCAATACGCGTATCAAGCTGCAGCATTGTGCCGTGAAGCAGCTCTAGTAGGTACGGCCCTCCAGGTATTTAGTGGTTGGTTGCCAACATCACAATAAGTGATCTGCATTGATGAATACGTCTAATGGCTGTTGAAAACCATTGCCGAAGTCAGAAGTGTGTGCAAGAACCCTCTTCTCATTTCTATTGAGTCATTTTGCAGGAGTCAGGAGTGTCTCTGTCATTCAAAGTTATTACACCAAAAGCACATAGGCTAACCAACCACTCTTTTGCTGGAGGGCAGTGCCTACCTAGCTGATGTGCAGCAAAATGCTTAATGCAGTGATTGCTATGTGGTTGTATCACAGCAAAATACAGCGGCTGAGGCCATTCATTCTGGAACAGCTAGAAGGGGAGTGGTACCTAGTGGTTGGCATGTTTGGTAAAAAAAAAAAGAGATGAAATGAAATGAAAAATTCATGAAAAAATTGGTCACTGATTATTGGGATGCTGAGGCCAGAACAAATGGGCATGGCTTATGTTTCAATAATTGTAGTTTAACTTGGGTATACCAGTAGGTAGTCTTTCCCTTTTTCCATCCCATTTCTCTCCCCTCCCATTCCCTTTCCTCACTTCCCCACTAAACTGTGTCTTCTAGGATTTGTTCACTATCTTTTTTTCATCTTCCTCTATTCTCCATCCTGTCCCCTCTCCCCATTTTCCTCTCAGTTCTCCATATTACTCTCACTCCTTCTCATGGATTTTGGCATTTTCAAATTAACTTCCACTGACTGATGAATTATGAACTGACACCCTGTATTTTCCTATTCCCAGCTGAAACCTGATCTTTTATTGAAAAGGCATTTGGATATTGATATCCAACATGTCAAGCCTCTCAGATGATGAAGAGCTTCTTAGTAAGCTGGAGACTTTGGATCTAAAAACAACACTTAATGAGGATATTGCTATTGTAAGTACCTACTGATTTATGATACAGGTCGGCACTTATGCTAACAGGTTTATTTTTAGAAACAAGCTATTTAGGTACATCTGTTTTTGCTTTTTCATGGCTAGTACCTAGTTGCACTGTTTAGCTGATTCTCAGTACTCCAAGCAGTTAGTGAATTTTGACTTCAAAGGGAAATAAATTTGCCTTATTTTCCATATTCAAGACATTTTGTTCCAATTCAAGATGTTTTGTATCTGTTAATTACTTACTATAGTGTGCAAAAGACAGATCTTAATTGCCGTGTATATTTTTCTGTCCCAGCTGGACACTGAAGAGTTCCAACTACCACCAGTTGATGCCCTGCCGACTCTGGAGAGCATACTGGGCGAGGATGACCAGGGCAACACTGCTTCACCAGCAAACAGCGGCTCTGCTCAGCACCATGTCAGTACTCGTTGTGAACTCTTTAGTACCTTTTGTATAAATTTTGTGTTGCATGAAACTGTTGACGCTTTGTCCCCTCAGCCCCAGTCAATTTGATCCAAAACAGTTCTGCTCTGGTACAAGCGGTGGTACCCGGCAGTCAAGGCAGCCACCACATCACCCTGTGGCAGATGTTGTGGTTATCCACATCCAGATCTCTCTGGACGACATGTATGTCGTGCAGAGAGATGAAAGCGGGTCACATATCACCCAGCGTTGTACCGCCCACAGTTCCTTCCTGCTGACCCTCTGACTGACCCATCCCTCTTCTGTGTCACAGAGCGCCGACGCGGTGTCAGACTGCGGCAGTGTCGACTCTGACACCCCCTACTGTCCCACAGAGCGCCGACGCGGTGTCAGACTGCGGCAGTGTTGACTCACTGACCGGCCCCCTCCCCCTGTGTCACAGAGCTAACCCCCCTCCCCCTCCCCCGTGTCACAGAGTGCCGACACGGTGTCAGACTGCGGCAGTGTTGACTCGCTGACCGGCCCCCTCCCTCTGTGTCACAGAACTGACCCCTCCCCCTGTCTCACAGAGCGCCGATACGGTGTCAGACTGCGGCAGTGTCGACTCACTGGGCGGTGAGAGCGCGCCCACTCACCTCCGACACACACCACTGCTGGGCGTCTCCTCTCAGCTCCAGTCGGCCGCCGTAAGCAGCTAGGAACGCCCGACAGCCAACGCCGCGAGCGGGGTGTGGGGAGGGTGGCTGAGTGGGGAGTGCAGCGACAGTTTGATGAGTATTGTTTAATTTTTCACTAACGCTGATTAATTGACTTATTTTTATATGGAATTTCAGTCACGATTGAAATGATTTCATCATTTAACAAGTTTCAGGGCTGTAGATAGCGGGTCCGGTTCTTCACATGATCTTTGTTTCGCCATATGTGGTTACCCTTTCGGCCACCCACATGTCGGGTGTGGTTGTGATAATGGAGTGTAAGTAGAGCCCCTGTGGCATGACCGTGGGCACGCTGGGACTTCTCACACCCCGTCTCCCGTCCCCAGGACCGCGTCTCGGCGGGCGCTCCGACGGCGCTGGCGGCCGGGGCGGTGATCGCCGTCGGTACCTCGCACGGCCTCTGTCTGGTGTTCGAGACACACGAGGCGATGCGCTACTGTCTGGGAGACAGTCGCAGCGGACAGCAGCTGGGAGCAGTGTCCTGTCTGGACCTGTCACCGGACAGCACTCGGTCAGTGGACGGGGAATGAAGATGGGCCATTCCTGGGTGAACGTGATGCTTTGAGTAGGTACACATACATATTGAAGTTATGTCTGTCTCGATACGTTGCCTCCTCGGTGTGGCAATTATTAATTGACGAATTATTATATTTACGACCGTTCTCATGATAGAGTAGCTAGCTACCTACTCATTTTCTGACAGCCACTCCGTTCTGTCCGTGTTCTCAGACTGATTGCTGGGTACGCGCGCGGCCACATCCAGCTGTACGACGTCGCCCAGGGCAAACTGGTCATGAAGGTGGACGAGGCGCACCAGCGCTCCACCGCCATCATACACCTCCGGGTAATGGGCAGTGTTATTCGAGATGTTTCAGAATTTAGAAATGCGATTGTGCTGTGTAACTTTCGTAGCTGTCCCTAAAACCTGCGTGAATGGTAGCGTCTTTGAGCAGTTTTTTAACCGTCCATCTTTGATTTTTTCTTTCAAATATGGACCATAGGGTGTTCTAATGACCATATTTCCTGTTTTGCCGACAAGCTCATTAGCATCCAGTTGACGTCCCTCTCCATCTGTGCCCGGGATTTTACGCTCTGTCCCCACTTCATCGCCGCCCTTGGACGCTCTTTTCTGTTCCCGCTCGTTGACGCTCCTGTCGGTTTGTCCGTCAGTTCACTCACGCTCCCTCGTCGTTCCGTTCCCACCAGTTGACGCTAGTCTGTCTCCGTGTCCTTTAGTTCACGGACGTGGCGCTGTTCTCGGACAGCGGCGGCGGCTCTGTGTCCGTCAGTTCACCTTCTGTCCCGTTCCGTTTCCACCAGTTGACGTCTCCGTCTCTATTTCCCCCAGTTCACGGACGTGCCGGACGTGGCGCTGTTCTCGGACAGCGGCGGCTCCGTGTTCGAACTCCGCCTGCGCCGCTCGCTGGGCCGCCGCTCGGCCGCCGCCCGTTGTCTATTCTCGGGCAGCCGCGGAGAGGTGGTCACTATGGAACCCCTGCCGACCGCCGAGCACCCCACCCACCCCCTGCAGCCGCAGATGATTGTCGCCATGGCAACCATGTCCAAGGTGAGGGTGATGATGACTGGGGAGGGGGTGGGCCTGGGTTAGGTTTGTGACTGGTGCTGATTTGTGGAATGATGCTCTAGCGGGAATGTTTCGGTCGTTTTATGCTTCTATTTTTTTCATCGCTACACAAGCTGCTCTTGCCAGCAATGTGTTCATTCTTAAATGTTCTTTTTAAATGGTAATTATCAATTGACGCAATTTTCTTTTCTTTCAACCACTTCCACCTAGCAGTATGAAAAGCGATCACGCCATCTACCGTGGTTCTCTAGCCTCACCATGCGAACTGTCCTCTTGTCTTCCACTCTCTGTTGGTTCCCCTGACCTCTCGCCTGCCACCCTCAGGTGATTGTGGTGAGCGCCCGTCCGCAGCTGCGCGTCCTGTTCACCCACCCACTGGAGGCCGGGCCCATCCACGTGCCGCTCTTAGACTGGCAGTTCGTGGTGATACGAGTCGGCAGCGGGGTCAATATGGTCGACCCCGTGCTGACGTTCGCCAGAAAGTCCACCGTCTACTTCTACCAGGTGAGGTGGAAGTCCACCGTCTAATTTTATTAAGTAAGGTAGGAGGCAGCCGTCTATTTCTTATTTCTACCAGGTGAGATGGGTGGGCTTTTCTATTTCTGCCAATTTGTGGTGGAAGGTGATCGCCTGCTTGAAGTACCAGGTCAGCCCACAAGTGGTGGCATTGTTCGGTAGATGAGCTACATGATCACAGTGCTGTGAGACTAGATTAGCTGTTAAGTGAGAATTCCCAACACTTTTTGTGCTTCACTTTCGGCCTTCTTCTGTCACCGAACACGGCATAGGTTGCCTCGTAATCGTTTTCAATTCACGTTCATTGTTCACTGTTCACCCCATGTTTATGGCATGAGCTCGCCGCACCTTCGCCTTACCCTTTTTGAAGTATCTGACCTGTAACCCTCTGCCCTCCGACCTCTCCAGGTGTGCTGTCCGTCCGAGCAGACCAAGTTCGTGCCGCTGCAGTGGGTCGAGTTTCCGTTCGTCATCCAGAACATCAAGTGGATGAACTCTCGGACGCTGGCGCTGGTCGACACGCAGGAGAAGCTGCACCTGTGGGACGTGCGGGGGCAGCAGCAGCTCGAGGTGAGAAGAGTCGGAGAGGGGGAGAGACTAGGTGAGAGAGGAGGCCAGCTACTGTATGTGAAAGGAATCGTTTGGGTAAGGCCGATGTGCTGGTCGTTGCTCCAATTCCTGTACCTCATAATATCATGTGTTTGTATTGTCTGGCATTATTACTCACATTATTACTCCCTCCTTAGTTTCATCCAAATGAACTAATGCCCTTTGATGTTTTCAGACGCTGGATCTGTCGTTTGTCAAGATGGTCTACTCCACCAGCTATTTCAAAGGCCTGGCGACTGGCGGGAATGTCAGCAAGGCCATGGTGGGCTGCTCTCTGCTTCTACCAAGCTTTTGCTGCACACTGCTGCAGCTTTTAGCTCGAGCAAATGGCGTATATTTCATTTCCGAACGATGCACTTGCCCTGTTTTTTTTTTCATCCTGTTGACATCTGTGAGAATTTAGAGTTGTCGGAATTTATGAGCTATACGAAAAGCTCAGTCTGTAGCTGTCACTCTGTCGTACGTTAAGTTGAGTTCCATCGTTTCTTTTAGCCAGCTATGACCTGGCTAAGCTATTCTTCCTAACTGACTTCTGATTATCCATGGGATCTCTTGAACTGGCCCTGTTCTCAGCTGCCCCCTAACGGCTCCGCTCCCCCTCTCTACAGGCGGTGGCCGGTGAGAAGGCCTGCTACGAGTCGTGTCTGGTCTCTGGCGGCCAGCTGATGCTGCTCGGCACACGTGGCCTCCACGTGCTCACTCTGCGCACGTGGCTGGAGCGTGTGGAGGCGCACGTGCGGGCCGGCGACTTTGCCGCGGCGCTCCGACTGGCCTGGAGTCTGTACGGGGAGCGAAGTGCGCCGATGATGGGACTGCAGGGATCCTCCGGTCGGCGGCAGGCCATCATCAAGGAGAGGGTGGGTACGAGGGAACGGTTACCTCAGAGAGGTCGTGCTGGGTAGGGCTGGGTATTCTGCGTTGGGTTGTGAACGGATGTGACAGTGGGTGTGACCAGGCGCAAGGTAACAGCGAAGGCTGCGCCATCTATTGCAAGTACTATACCATTGCCGACATTGAATACCACAGTGCATGAAAAGAAAACCTCCATATATAGTACCCAGCCCCTTTGTGTCGTACCCGTCGCTAACCGTATCCATCGGCCTCCAGATGCTCTCCCTCGTGGACGAGTGGCTCGAGTATTGTCTGCGCACCGCCAGTCCGGAGCAGTCGCTCTCTCAGGCCGTGCCCACCTGTGTGCAGTACCTACTGGACCTCGGCGAAAGGTGAGTGTAAAGTACCGGTTGGCTCTGGGTACAAGATAGTGCTGAATAGCCTTTGTTGATGCTGCTTGGCATCGACTAACCAGTCAAACACCTATGCTGTATTTGCTAAGGCTGCTGAATTCGAGGATTTTTTCTTTACACCGGACGTCGTAACAGCCGATTAGCTCACGGTATTAGTCGGCGTATCCGATCCAAGATGCAGCATTGCTACAGCTGACGGCACTTTGTCGCTTCCGTACTCCCAAGTCTAATGTACATGTGTGTAAGGCAACGGGACAACGTTGGTAATGGGGCCACAGAACTCGCACCTTGCTAGGTCTGACCCTGACATTCAATCAGCTGACACCAGTCACCAATCATTACCCGTCGACCCAGTATCCCAATGAGAGAGCAGGGGGGGGGGGCAAAGCTGTCGTAAACTCCCAATCACAACGAGCTATGAATGGCGGCGTCCAGGGCCGTTGTGCTGTGATGGTTTGTAACAAAGCGAGTACCGGCGATCTCCGACAGTCGCTCACTGCCTCGGTGGTAGAGTAGGAGCCGGAGACTCATTGAACGGGAAATATGTGGTCGTCTCTCTAATGAACAGTCGCGAAGTTGCCGTACTTGGCATGTCCGCTATCCTCATCAATAGCATATGATCTTATTCCTGTCGCCCTAGTAACAACATCCGCGGCCTGAAAACAACACCTAACACCTTTTTGTCTAATTGACCTCGTACCGTTTACTGTCTCCCCAATCTGAGCGTGAACCATTCTTATCGCTCTAGTAACACCTTTTTACCTGATTGAGCTACCGTCGTCCCCAATCTGAGCATGCACTAGAACAACAGCTCTCGACCTGTTACTTTCCACAGCGGAAAAGCAGTTCCACACCTGACCTTGGTCTTGTGGACAGTACGCTGTATTGGCGGTGTTATCTGAGCACTTGAAGCGTGTTGAGATAGCCCAGCCACCGGCGGACATTGGCGAGTGAGAGCGGCTCAATAACATCGGCTCGATGTGCTTATGTCGTTTACGCTGCGATATTTTTGCCGCGATGTAAAGCACCTTTGTATTTATAAGTTAAATTTTGTATGCACAGACTACGTGAATATGTAGTATCGTTAAATATTTTGGCGTGTTAAAAATTATTGTTCAACTAGGCGAAGGGGTCCTCTTCTATTGATCACGATCGTATGGGTTTACGACCCATGGGCATTGGGCACGAAGTTTCAAACCTACAGTAAGTGATGGCGATACACAAACTCCGTTACAGAGCACTTCCTGTTTCCTGAAGCTTGTGGAGAAACTAGTTATTGCTTGTTCAGAGTTGGCGTACTTTTGGAAGAACTTTCAGAAACGCCAAGCGGAACAGAAAGGTTATTCGGCGTCGCCGCAGTGGGATAACTTTACGGAGACTGTTGTCGATACTTTGGAGAACTGGCATCGAGGCGACGGAACTTTGCAAAGCTTTCTGAGTTCATGCATTATATAATGTGGAAATTGAATGCTCCTGAGCGGTATGACCTCTATGAGACAGTGCGTCTTCCATTAATGTACTGCTTGAATTCGCATAATGAATGATAAACTAGCTAATGTTAAGGTAAATATTGACGCATTTATGCTTGTTGATACCGCTTTGAAAGCTTTACAGGTAACTTATTTATGGTTTATTGATACCTCTTTTGTTATCAGCGCTTGACAAACAGAATGTAAAAGAGAATCCCTATGGTTATGAGATAGACTAGCGGAAGAGAATGTAAAAACGTTTTGTCGCCTTTCGTATATCTTACAACAAACCAATACCTGAATATATGTAGAGTATCGGCGTTACATATATTTTTATGTCACGGGTAAATATCCGTTAGGGGCGCTAACATTTTAGCGTTATCAACAATGACCAGATACCCTGAACTGCTGACATTGTCTGCAGCATTCACACTTGGACTACCGGACGCCGTTCGGTCAAGTTTCGTATTGCATTGCACGGCCACCACGAAGCAATTTATCAATGCTAACTGCAAACACACGCGCCTTCAAATGAACCAAACTTAGGTCCTAATTGTTTGCTGAAGTCCTTCTCGTTTCTTTTACATCTCATGCATGTCTTGGGCACACCACCACCATGGCGTTAACATTATCATTTATCTCAGTGAACAGTGAACACGTCACGTTAAGCATCTTCAATACATCTTCAGGTATTTTCCTTCATACACTCACCCCAGCTGTGTCCCACACTGAAAACAACACACCTTGACTTGACTTGACTTGACTGGAAGCCACCTTACCTCCCCTCCTCTCTACTTGAACTCGAGCTCGACAGTGGGGTCGAGCGCATACTTGTGTCGGTTCTCGTCATAGAGCTCCTTCAGTGCGTCCTTGTAGCGGCGGTGCAGGTCGTCGATCTCCTCCTGGGTCGGGTTGGGTCGCCGCTCGACCTCGAGCGGGCGGCCGACCACAGTAGTGATCCGCCGCCGGTGAGGCAGCAGGCCGAAACTGTACTGAAGGAAGCCGCGGCCGAGGAACAGGACGGGGGCGAGCCCGATGTAGCTCATCATGGTCTCCTGCAGCCAGCGCAGCCACGAACCCTCCGGGTTCCATACCTGTTGGAATAGGTGAGGGTCAGTGGTTGAAGAAAGAGCTTGTGACGAGACTCAAGGAGCACAGAGTTTTCGTCTATACATATGCCACAACTATAGCGGTGATTTCATGACTGGTTTTGGACTTCATTACTCACTACTGGTTCGGTTCATAAGACTTTGAAGCATAGCGCTGTTATCAACGTTATTATGCTTCCAATATTGTGGATTATGTTTAATCGCTTTTTAAGTGAGTAGTGAAATGATGCTGGTGATAATCGGACACCTAATTTACTTAGCTCCGTGTGATGGCTTTCAATAGACCGGATGCTATCGTCATATGGTCACTACAGCATTTTAGGCGCAATTTCAAAAAGTTAAAGACCAAATTCAAAACGTTCACGTGCATTTTGAATGTAAACTTTTTGAATTTGGTCTTTAAATTTTTGAAATTGCGCCCAAGGCCATATATAGATTGCGCCTAAAAAGGTGTAGTCAGGTTATCGGATATCGCGTCGTACGTTGGGAGCAGTGATATGAGATAGCATTACAGATGACGCCACTCACATAAATCGTTGCCCTTCGCCTCTAGTCACTAAGTGACGATTTGACATATTTTGACTGTACGGTGAAGAGTAACTGCGTAGTGAGCACTTCTCCTTTCACGTGCTGTGGGAGCCAAAACTCTGAGGTATCTTGAACTATGACGTGCTTGACTGGGCTTGCCAGTGGTATTTACTCCCGGGAACCAGATAGTTATGGCACCCGCACTGGTAGATTTAGACCAAGATAAAGACAGTTTCTATTACATTCATTTGCAAAGTTGTCCGGAAACGTCAAGAGAGAGAACTTGACCAGCGCTGTAACAGAGAAGCCATGACTATTTTGTACGGGCTAGTCGCACTCAGAGAGCGTTTATCGTGATGAGCTTCTACTGTATTGTGGTTTTATACGAGTATATTTGGGTGAAAATAGATTAGTTTCAGCGTTAAATTTACGACTCATTTTTCTTCCCACATTCATTTTCCTTCTCCTAAAGGCTAACATTTGTCGTCCATTTTCCATGATAAATTGTATGTCTGAGCCCTATGCGGATAAGTAAGTTATTGCACATAATTTATTTATTTATTCGATGTCATGGAACAACAGGCGAATTGACGCCCAGTAACAGTCCATAGCAGTTATACGTTCGGAGCAGTGTAAACATTGCCTTTAGTCTTTCGTCTCTTACACATACAATCCCTCGATATACCAACCATATCTATCACACAGTCCATACAGTACATGCATAACACAATAAATACAGTCACGCGGTTCACACCAGGACTCACATGTTTTGTATATGTCGTCTTACTTTAGCCCGAACATCCCGCATTGAGTCGTGAAACAAATCCAAATCTGTTATCTCGAACATAAATTCATTTATGATAGTGGGTGCCCTAACAAAAAGCGAACCTTTCATAGTGTCGACCCGCGCAAATGGTACATTCATGACACCACGAGCTCCTTCAATCCTCCTTGTAATTCTTGGAGCAGCATACAGCGGAAACCGTGCCAATAGTACATGTAATTCCTTTCAATGCCAAGCTATCGTGGTCTAAAATCCACTCTTTGACCTATTCTCTGTCTAAAAAGGTTTCTCTTTAGTTCTTTTTTATGACCCAGATTTAATTTCATGCACTGGTGGCTGCGCGAGGGGCACGGGCCATGAGCTTCATTTGGAACATACTAATGCCTATAGGGAACAGAGGGAAATGAACAGCCAGTGTGTCCATGTGCAAACAGAAAAACCAAAGAAACTGTAGGACATGAGAAGTCGTTCATAAGCGAATGGTCTTCCCTGGCAGTTTCTTGGCTTTTGTTTCGGCTCTTGTGCGTGAAAATGTGCACACGAGCTTTTGTTGAGAGGTCACGCTTTTAGGAGGCTCGGCCCGGCGACGGCCAACACCACTGATTAGGTCCGTCATGTGAATAGGCCCTTGACCTTGACTAGGATTAGCTCTCTCTGGTCGCCTCTATACTGCGCCCCGGCCCTCCGCCCTCCACCCTCACCTGATTGTAAATGTCCGTCTCGCCGAAATGGAACACCGGCACCAGCGAGACGCCGTTCCTCAGAGCGATCTTGATGAAGCCCTTGCGCCGGTTGATGTAGACCTGACTGACGCCGGGCCGCGCCATGAGCGCCTCGGGCGCGCCGCCCACCACGAGGATCAGCATGTGGCCCTTGGTGGGCAGCGAGAGCAGGTAGTCCATGGAGCGGCGCGTGGCCGCCACCCCGCCCGAGGTCATGAAGAACTCCCGGTAGAACGGCTGCGAGTAGTTGCCCTCCAGGGTGAGCATATGTGGCGTGATGCCCGGGAAGCGCTCCGAGAAGTCGTTGCCCTCGGTGCAAAAGTTGCAAAAGGCGCCGGCGCAGAGGATGCCGTGCGGGTGCGAGCCGAGCAGGTAGTTCTTGTCGGGCGACAGCTCGCACGTTTTGACGATGTCTATGGGGAAGTAGTCACGGAAGTGGCGCCATAGTGTCCAGCGCCGCACCCACTGCCAGGGCCGACCGCCGCGGTTACAGATGTCCTTATCGTACCAGAACCAGGCGCAGTAGGCCGCCGATATCCACCAGAAGCGGGTGAACAGGAAGAGGTAGGTCAGCAGGAACAGACCGCCCAGACCCATGAACACGAACGTGCAGATCCAGAAACCGACGGCGAATGTCTGCAGCCGGCGCCGCATCGGGATGCGCCACGGCGCAAACTGCACGCCCAGGACCTTCATGTTGGGCGCTGGTGTCTTCCCGTTGTCTCACCACTCGCCACTCACTAGTCGCGGTCTGGCGCACCACTGCCTCTCACTCACCGCTGCACGGCGTCGCCCGCGCCGCGGCCGTACCGCCGCGCCCCGTGACTTTCCCGGGCGGACTGACGCGTGGTGACGGCCGGCCGACCGTCCGCCCCGCCCCCGCGACCGCTATGGCCGCCCCTCCCCACTACTCGACGTGAGCCGCCGCGATACCGCTGCTGGGCGACGCGTCTCGCTGTTTGGGGCTCGGTGGAGCTTGTGGCTCTCCAGCACCGCCCTCTCCTGTCTCTCTAGCTCGCTCGTCGAACTCTCCTGGACCTGCGCGCGGCGTCGGTCGGCTCGGCGCGGGCGAACAGGGAGGGAGGGGAGACGTGTTGTTATGCCGTCCGTTCGCCGCTCTGGCATCCAGAGCTGGCTGTTTATGGTTGAGTGGATTGTTTATACGCTTTGGATAAGTTCGTACTCACTTCCGTGCACCGCGAAACTTGACGCAGGAGAATGGAAAGATTCTGCATGCGAATAATTAGGTTTCAATTGGTGTACGTTATATCCTTTTGTTATTTAGCCCGCGCCGGGTTGCATGGTGCATACTGCAAAGCTGCACTGCAGAGCTGAGTGCATGGCGTGACCTTGAGTGTGAGTATCGGCTCCCGTATTGGTCCGTCGTGCCGCCGTCAGCTGACCACTGAGCGTCTGGGACCAATCACATGGTCTGGGGTGGTGCGGTGCACTATGACCCACCAGACGGTTCGGGGTATGGGTAAGCGGAAATAGCACCGCCCGGCAGGCGCTGGGACTCCGTCACCGATTGCAGTGATAGGGTGTGTCAGAACGGAAGGGCGGTGAGGTGACTCAAAACTCACCCGGTGGCTCCTGGTGACAAATATTTGGGAGACAACCAAATGAAATGGGTGTTTTACGGTCAAAACATTTATTGTTTGTTTACCGTGGATTTACGGTGCGTCGGATCAGAACATTTCTAGTTCTCCTGTTCTTCGTTCTTTGGTGCGTTAGGGTCAGGTATTGCTTCCATGATGAGCAACATTTTATCCAACCTGTGATTCCGGCCATCCGACAGCCTTTTAGCGTTTCGATGAGCGTTTCTGTAAACGATATCGCCTGAATGGCGTCGGACTCTGACCTCTCTCGAGACTGTGTATCTAATCAGAGCGATGGGCGTCCGGTGTTAGTGCTGAGTCCTCGGCACGGGGCGGCGTGGGTCTGACCGAATGGACTCAGCCCCGCCCACGACCACCTTGGTGCTCTGCCCCGAACCACATCCCCCTCACCCGCACCCATTGCCGTTTTACCCCTCTTCACAGCGATACCCGGCTCCGTTTGGCATCCGGGCTTTCTGTTACGCGCCTCAACCTCGGTAGTTCAACGTCCTGTGTACGATTTGACTGATTTAGAGCTCATTGATGTCGGAAGCAAATATTGCTTCCCCCAAGGATCTTGGTATTTGAACCGTATTTGTATCTTTGGCTGTGGATACGGCTCAGCCTTGTGAGGCAAATAGCGAGTTCGTTTCTGATGATGTGCTTTATCTGGTTTTGCATTTTTCGCCCCACCGTGGGCTAGTTTTATCTAGCCCTGTGAACCGTTTACCGTTGTTTTGTTTTTCTCATGTACTGTGTTAACGCAATTTTCGCTGAACTAGGTATAGAATGACCCAAACAGCACAATGTGCTTCCCGGCACACTTGGTTAGCTGGCATTATAAATCCTAACATCCGCTCCGCCATATAGCTGACTTCCTCTAGCGCCAACTCTGTATGTCTAGTAAAAGCCCGTGGCCGTCTCCTGCAAAGGCCATGCTGCAGTCGTACATGTGCCCGTCCCGCATAGATGCAGGAGGCCGGCTGCTGTCGTTGAATAGGATAACTGAGGATCAAGGGCGCCTTAATGATTATCGCCTTATGTGCCTTATGCCAAGGGCGTCTTATGCCTTAATGTTGGTGAGGTGATTATTGCTGTGATTGTCTGCTGGCTGGGATACGACGGATGCGTCGGTGGTGCAATGCCGAGAAATATTCTGAGAAAAACTATGCCACAGGGACAGGCTTTGACCGTAGAAATTGTTTTTCCCGTGTCGGCTCCGTTGCCAGGTAATCGTTTCCATCCTGCCCTGATGGGGATCATCGTATGAGGAAGTGACACGCTCGGAATAATCAGTCAGAATACTGCCTGGTGACCGGGGTATATCCCGTCGCGTGGCATTATTAGATCCCCTGGTGCATTGACTATTCGGGTCGATACGAAGACGCGCCATGATGCCATGAGTGGACGGCGATTGCCGACTGTGTCGATGAATAGAGATAAAGCGGAGGATGCGGTGTGATTGGTGACCTGAATATCGCCTGATGACCTCTCCTTGCCCTTGATTTTGCCAGAGCTTATCTACAGGCTCTGAACAGCTCAGGTCAAGTCCCCACTCCCTGTGTCTGACGGCGATGTTTCACTGCTCATCTTCCTCACAGTAATGCTTCCTCAATATCCCCCCCCATAGCTCGCCGTGTCTTCAACCCTTGTCTCACTCGCCCTCCGTCTAGTGTCTCACTGTCCACAGCTCCGTCTCACTGTCCACAGCTCCGTCTCATCCCCCCTCTCCCTCCCTCAGTGAGGTCCTGTTCGGCCGCGTCACCTCGCTGCTCGAGTCGGAGCCGGCCGGGGTGCCCCTCCTGCTGGACGGCCTGCTGCCTCACATCAGCGCCGGGCGACTGACCGCGCCGCCGCCGCTGGTCATGCAGCGGCTGGTCACCCACCTGGAGCAGCAGGGGAGGCTTCAGGTGGGACGACAGGGACAGAAGGGACGGCTGTAGGTGGGACGACAGGGACAGCAGGGGCGGGTACGGGTGGGACTGGTGGGACAGCAGGGCATGGGGTCTGTGAGACAGCAAGGACGGCAGGGGCGGGTACGGGTGGGACTAGTGGGACAGCAGGGGAGAGGATCAGTGGGACAGCAGGGCAGGGTACAGGTGGGACGGCAGGGTCAGTGAGCTACAGGTGGGACGGAATGCTACAGATAGGACAGCAAGGGCGGCTACAGCTGGTGGGACGACAGGTAGGCTACACAGGTGGGATGGCAGGGCAGGCCCCATCGTTAGGGACAGTTACAGGTGGAACGACAGGGACGACATGGCAAGCTACTGATGGGTTGACAAGGGGCGGTTACAGATGGGACGGCCGGGACACTGTGATGGGTTCGCCCTTCTCATCTCCCCCTGTTCCTCCCTGTCATTCTCAAATTTTTCCTAGTCCGTACCTACCCCTCCTTGCCCCTTCCTTTCAAGCTCCGGTCCTCTTTCCCGCTCGCTTTCAGAATGCGGCTAGTCATCCGATACTCCCCTTCGACCCTTTCTGACCGACCGCCTCCTCCCCACCAGCTGGTCGTGTGTTTGTTTAGCCGCCTCTCGCTGACCCCCTCTGACCCCTACTGACCCCTCTCCCCCCGTCAGACCCTGGAGGAGTGTCTGGTGCGGGTCGACATACCCTCGCTGGACATTAACCAGGTGCTGCCTATGTGTTGGCGGCGTGGCCTCTACGATGTCATCGTGCGAATCCACACGGTCGGCATGGGCGACTACGTGTCGCCGCTGCTGGAGATGCTGAGCCGGCTCTCTGCACTACTCGCTGATGGTATGGGAAAAGAAGAGCATAAGGGCTGATGTGACGTAGCGTACACTGGGGTAGTAGGGGAGACAGTTTGATCTATTCTGCTTTGTGACGCCCACATCCTAAGCATCGGTGGTTCAGTGGTAGAATGCTCGCCTGCCACGCGGGCGGCCCGGGTTCGATTCCCGGCCGATGCATTTTCGCTTTCCTGTGCGAATGAACTCCCCGAGCCCCCTCCAGTTCTGTAAGTCAATATACCCTGCTCCATTCCTCTCATGACCAGCCATAACCTACGTATTCTCCGCGTGCCGTTTTTTTTTAGCTTCGTTACAATTTGAATTCAGTGTATCCTTCTTGGTACGTACGTCAGGCAGGTAACAATCACAAGCAGGAACAAGCTTTCACCACACGGTCACACGGCAACATCTGTTCTCAATCGACTCTTCTCCCCTCCCTCAGGCGCTCCTCTAATGGACGGCCAGGCCCAGCTAGGCAACAAGCTGCTGGTGTACATCTCGAGCTGCCTGGCCGGCCGCGGCTACCCGAGCGGTCAGATCCCCTCTGAGCGTGTCCACGAGGTGAAGCTGGCGGTACTGAGCGCCCTGACGGCCGTGCACTCAAAGAACGCGGCGGACACGGAGCGGCCGTACCCGCACCTCAGGTCAGAGAGAGGGGGAGGGAGGGAGTGTAAGATTGAGGGAGCGAGGGGTGGGGTGAGGGAGCGGGAGAGGGAGGGGTGGGATGAGAGTTAAAAACTCCTGATTGAGGTCAGAAGGAGAGAGATAGGGAGCCGGGAATTGGCAGAGGTCTGTTGTAGGTTAGAGCTGAGACCTCCCACAGAGTACCTTAGGTCAGAGGGAGCTACGGAGTGCAGGAGGATGAAACGTCCCACCGTAGGGTTGCTGATCCGTCAGGGAGGTATGTTTGAGTTCGGGTCTGGAAGGGAAGCCTCAGAACCGCGGGAGGCCATAGTTAGGAGCTTCCACCTCGAATCAGATTGGCGTTAATATTTATATGTGGGATGTGTTCTGGGCCGGGGAGGAGCTGTCAACTTGTTGTATTGTCAGTGTGGGACAGTCCCCCTGTTGCCACGAGCGGTTCTGTTGCCACCCTGTTCCCCACTTACCTTCCCTCATATCTCTTCAGGACGCTGCTGACGTTCGACACGCGCGAGTTCCTGAACGTGCTGTCTCTGTCGTTCGAGGAGGACGTCTTCTGCTCGGAGCTGGGCATGCGGCACCGGCAGCGGATAGTCGACATCCTGCTCACTCTTATGGTCGATAAGGAGGAATACTCGGTGGGTCCTGGCTGCCATAAACCAGGTTATGTTCGCCTCTCTACCCAAAATCATCAGATGCTGAGATCTCTGCTTTAAGTCTCATTCTGAACCCCAAGCTTGATTTCTGACTCAGGACTGGTTTTGTGTATTCTATTTCATAGCCGACAACCCTGCCCGCCTGCTAACTGTACCCACCTTTTCTGTATGTTCCGACCGGCAGGCGTCCCAGGTGGGCTCTCTGTTTACGTTTATCGCCCGTCAGATGGCGCTGCCCAACAGCACAGTCTCCGTCTCCAGGGACCTCTTTGATAAGGTACGGCGGGGTGACGGACTGGGACTGAGCCAGCGAAATTGGCGCAGTGCTGGTCTGAGTCAGTCCTGGGCGTCGTTTCTCCGTGGTCTCAATAATGTCCTCACCGAAACCAACATGGATCAACGTTTTTAAATTAAACCCTCAGTGGTAAATGAAATCTCTAACGCCAATGAGTGGTTGTTCAAGTTCATAATGTGCTCAACATTTACCATGAATGATGTCATTTTATTCTATGGCATTATGAGTGACTTAAAGGGTAAAACTGCCCTTTCTCATCTAACCGTCCCCGGTGATACGTCTCACCAAGAGGTATCGCTCTTACCATCCCTCCTTTCCCTCAGGTTGTAGACCATCTAACTGTCCCGGGTGACACGGCCCACCACGAGGAGCGGCAGCAGGCGCTGGCCGAGCTCATATCCACCGGTGTGCTGCAGCACTACGACACCGAGAGGCTGGCGCAGCTCGCAGAGGCCGCCAAATTGTGAGTGGGAACACTGTCGTGTTTGGGACTGATGAATTGCGAGTGGGGCGGTTACAACATGGCGAGGTTGACCTACCGCAAATTAATAAATGCTACATTTCGACTATCACTGTCAGACTGTGAGAGAACATGGACTGTACGAACGAGGGTCCTGCTGTACTTACAGGTGACTATTATAAAGCTTTTTGTATGTATGTTTGTTCCACAGTGATAAACTTTATAACGTTGCTTTTATTTCACATTTTCCCTCCCATTACCTAGTCTCACCCTGCTGCCCGCCCGTCCGCCAGTTACCGGATCTGCGAGCTACTGTTCGAGGGCCGCGGCGAGTTTGACCGGGCCGCCGGCTGTATGCTCCGCCACGGCTCGGGCCGCTCCTCTGTGCACCGGTTCGTGGCCGAGCGGGCGGCCGCTGAGAGGACCGCGCCGGTGGCCCCGCCCCGGGACGCCGCCTCCATCGCGCTCTGCTACCTTCAGGTGAGGGGATGGTGGGGACCGAAGGAGGTGATACGAACACGTGACCAAATGACTGTAGGACTCTATGGTAGTTCCGACACTCAAACACCTGCTAATCGAATCGTTCAACATTTCCGTTTCCTCAATGATTCAAGATTGGCACCAATTCTCAAGGTTACCAATTGTCTTCCGGCTACTACTCTAGGTCGTCTATTGTCGTGTTCCAGGACCTGTTAGACATTGACCTGGACCGCACGGCGGCTCTGTTCACCTCGTGCCTGTCCCGTCACCTGGAGGAGGCCGTACAGAGGCTGGACTCGTCCCCCAAGCAGCGCTACCGCTTCCTGGGGGCCATCCTACAGCAGAGGTGGTTGTGGAGGATGAGATGTCGGCAAACTCGACAGTGATCAGGGCTGGGCTCAATCATGGTGCGGTCGCTGGGAATGGTTGAAGCTTGGAGGGTTCATGGTTCTAGTGTACCGGTTTGTATCAGTCATCTGCTGGTTTAGGCGTGCGGAGAGAATTGATGAGATGTCAGTGATGTCACTAAAGCGAGACGAAGTATTTCTCTGTGGTGTTATGGCAGTGCTCTGGGCTTCTCAACCTGACATCGTCTGTATCGTGTTCAGTTCCAGTATGGTGCTCCCCGGCTCCGTCTATGGACAATACCTCACTCTGATGTGTCAGCTCGAACCGGACCGGGTGACGCAGTTCATCAGTGAACAGGACACCTTCGACGACGAGAACTACCTCAAGGTGAGCGGGCAGTCATAGAGATCAAAAACAGTCAATGACTAGAAACGATCGATCTCGGAGAATGTCCATAACGTCCGCGACTCGGCCCACTGTAGCAGCCATCATAATCGTATAATGTGTCTCCATTCAGCTCCTCTCACGCCGGTCCGACCGTCGCGTTTTCAGATTTGCCGGTCTGCCGGCCACAGGGAGGGAGAGGCGCACCTACTGGAGCGGAGCGGGGACACGGCTGCCGCCCTACAAACACTCATCGACGGACTGAGCGACTTCGAACGGACGGTGAGCCAGACGTTGTGTTCTATATGAAAAACTACCTCATGCCGTATTATGTGACATCGGTAGGATTTTTATTTTCCGCGATACGCTGAGATCGTTATTAAGAACAATTATTATCCCGCTCGCTTTTCTCAAACCATTCCAGCCGGTGCTTGCCATGAACTGCTGATGGTAGCAACCAGCGCTCGTCCTCCCAACTGACCCATTTCCACCCTTCTATTCTACAGAGCGTCCCCACGGCCCGTCTGGTGTCCAGGCTGAGCGCGACCATCCGGCTCCATCAGTACTCAGCCTCCCACTGACTATCTCCCCGTCCCTGCCCACAGAGCGTCCCCGCCGCCCGGCTGGTGTCCCGTCTGAGCGCGGCCATCCGGCTCTGCCAGCGCTCGGCCGGCCGGCTGCCCGACGAACACCGTCGGAGGGGCTGGTTCACACTGCTCGAGAGGGCCGTGGCCTTCCAGCAGTCGGACCTGGATCCCGGTAAGGACGGCGGGAGGGCGTCGTATAGTAGTGTGAGGGTGCTATGCTAGCCAGAGGGCATTTTGGGTTGAGGAGGTTTGATAGTGACTCTTACGCGATGTGAAGACGTGCTTGGCTGATTTTTAGGCCTTTCACAAGACCCGCGAGTCGTTCAAAAGGTCGCATGTGAACTAAACATGTTATGACGCGAGTATACGTCCATTACGTTTTCAAGTCTGGTGACGGTCGTGGTGCCAGTGGTGATCTCATTTCACTAATACGCTTCTCAGATCTGGTGAAGGGCCTGGTGCCGATGGTTGTTGGCTCGATGATCGGCCACGTTCCGCTACCGGAGGTGATGAGGCGGCTGCTCAAGGAACCGGCCTACTCGGGCGGACAGCTGGGACAGCTCAGGCCGCTTCTGGCAGGTCAGTAGGCGTGTGTGTTTGTGTGTGTGGGGGGGGGGGGGCAGAACTGAGACAGCTGGGACAGCTTCGACCTCTCCTGGCAGGTCAGTTTGGGGGGAGGTGAACGTGATATGCCGTTGCCGAGGCGATGTCAGGGGGGGGAGGGGGGCTCATATGGACAGGTTAGATTGTTTGTGATAAGCATGTTTCTCTTCTCTTCACCCTGCCTCTGTAGTGGGGCCTCGTGCACCGTCAGCTAACCCTCCCTCGCCGTCTTCCCTCCCCAGACCTGCTCCGGACGTGCGAGTACGAGCGCGTGCTATACGACAGCGCGCGGCGCATCACTCAGGCCGACACGTGGCACGGACACGTGCAGAAGCGGCACGTGCAGAGCCGCGGCTATGGCGCGCCGGGCCGGTGCCACGTGTGCAGTCGGCGGCCCGACCTGCAGGCCGGTCAGATGCTGGCATTCAGGTGAGGGGGCTGCTCTAGCTGGAATGAAGAGTGGTGGAACATTGGTGTGGCTTTGAACCAACTGGGTGATCGCCGGCTTCCACATGAATGACTTTGTATTGCACCTTATGTTACTTCAGCTCTGCGTCTTGGTAAAGAAGGCTAAAGTCGTCCTTCTGTAAACCACCAGTAATGTTTTTACACGTTGCTGCCTTTCACCTTGTGTTCTGTCGCTGAAGATGCAGCGCGCGGAGAACCAGTTTACCCCTATCTAACCGCATCCCGCCCGTTCCCAGGTGTGGCCACTTTTGTCACACGGCCTGCGCGCCGCCCACGGAGGCCGGTCAGGAGCGGCGGTGTGCGCTGTGCCACGGCCGAGACGCCCAGCAGCCCGGCCGGGGACCAGAGTCCACAGAGGACAGCGGTCAGCGCTCAGGAGACTCGGGCGGGGGTGGGAGCGGGCCCGCCGCCCCCGCGGTGGTACGGGCCGGTCCCACGGCAATCACGGGTCCTAGTCTGACCGACCTGGTACTGGCGGGGAGGTAGTCTGGTGCGGGGAGGGGCGGGGACGCGCCTCAGGGGTCGCTACTTATAAAGACACGCGAAATAGCTCATACTCGGCGAGGCTGGAGCGCGGGCGACTTTTAGAGATAGAGGGCGTGTTACCATGCTAGCTACCAAAGTGTAAACAGTCTCAGTAATTACCAGCCTTGTCTGCCTCAGTGCGTTGGGACCTACGAGCTTAGGGAAACAGCGGTGAGCACTGCAGCTTGTCCTTGTGCTGCCGAAACTTCAGTGCGTCAAAGGCATTTCGCTTTCGCTGGCTCCAATGTTGCATTAGCTGTTGGTACTTTGATACGCTATGCTGTTTTGTTTTCTCCAAGTCATTAAATGCTCACATCGTACAACGTTGCGCTTGTATGCATTAGCTTGTGGTGTAACCATGGCTGCCAATCAGATGAAGGTTATTTGCTTAAGGTGACAACCCAGCGTGTTATGAACAGCATGTGACCAAGTGATTATGAGGATATATTGTGTTTGTTACGTTGTTAATCACTTTGCGTTGTTATATCACTTCTGCGATATACCGTGATCACTTTTGCGATATACCGTGATCTTATGTTAAACAGCTGTGATCAAGTTCGTTCCTTGTGAGGTTCGATATCGTTTAGCCTGGAACACAGCTCTTTCAAGCGTGCAAATTACGTCTCAGCACCTTCCGTTGTAATGCATGGCATATGTGTCCGCTCCCAACTCGCGGCACAATGCGCTACGAATTGAGAGCGGAAAATATTCATGCATTAAAATGGAAGGGTGGTGAGACGTGATTTGTACACTTGAAAGCTGTGTCCCAGCCTTTAGCCCATGCTTATTTATACTTTTTGTGAACGTAGCCGCATCGTATGCATTTTAAACGAATAGCTCGCGAGTACATTATTGGTAGGACGGATCTCATCCAAATAATACGATGAATTACCAGAGACCGCTGCGTCTGGGTGCAAACGTCTGGTAGCGCCTGGTTCGGACCTCTTATATAACTGCTGTCCAGGTAGCTCGTGATATAGCCCAGTACGAGTGATTTTCCGACCGACAGGTTATGCTATTGCTGCTAATCGATGTTCCCTGCCGTCGCCCAGGGAGATTTACCCTCCTGGAGAAACTGCCTGAAGTCAATTTGTCAGAAATATGCATGCTATTCCAGGGGTGCAGTATCAAACGCGCATGAATGTCAAATACACATTATTCATATCAACTGAGCCGCTTTTACCAGCGTTACGTAAGAAGTCATCCAAGAGCAGATGACGGATGAACGATGACCGACCCGTCGCGGTACATCGCATTTGACCTCGGCTCAGGTCGGGTCGACCGGGGTCCGTCCCGGCTCCGGGTTTCGCGACCCGGAGCCGGAAACCCGGGCGGTGCAAGGGCTGGAGGCCGTCACACTTACCACAACCGACTCCGTATGTCTATGGTAGTCAAACATTCGCTGCGCTCACACTCACAACACAAGTGGAGCCTGGCAGCATCTTCATTGGTGCACGAATTAATCACATACTGATTCATGTTTCACTGGAGATGATGACTCACGCCGGCGCCGACTCATCGTCCTCACTCTCCGAGGGATGCATCTTCTCGCTGATGTACCGCTTCAGCGCCTGCTTGAACGTCTCGTCAGACGACGAGGAAGACGATGACGACCCACCTCCACCTCCTCCGCCGCGGCCCTTTTTCTTCTTCCCCGCCTTCTTGCCTTTCCGGGTGGAGAGTCGCTTCATCTGCCTCTTCTGCTGCTGGGGCGGTGTTGCTGACGGAGGCGGCGTGGACGCCTTGGTCGAGAGCTGGCTGAGGAAGGCCGCTGGCTCCTCGACGTCGGGTGACGAGCGCGAGCCGCCGTCCAGGTCCGACGTCTGCCGCACCTTGGCCTTCTGCGCCAGGATCGGCGGCAGGGCGCTTTTCTCCTCCTTCTTCTTCTTTGCCTTGGGCTGCTGGTCGGCGATCTCTTTGAGCGTCGGCCGCCGCTGCGCCTTGATGCTCGGGCCGGAGCTTGATTTGGAGCTGCTCGGGCCGCCAGAGCTCGCCTTAGAGGCGCTTGGGCCGCCAGAGCTCGCCTTAGAGGCGCCCGGGCCGCCAGAGCTTGCCTTAGAGGCGCTCGGGCCGCCAGAGCTCGCCTTAGAGGCGCTCGGCTTGGAGCTTGACTTTGAGCTGCTCCACATGGAGCTGCTTGGCTTGGAGCTCGAGGGAGAGTCGTCCGGCTCGGGCGACGCCTCCCTGGTGCTCGGCGCACCGCTCTGGTTGTCCGAGCTCAGCGATATCGTCGTCTTGGAGACGTGTGCGGATGCCCCCGGCGACTTCCGGCTCCCGGCCATCGACTCCTGAGATTTGTGCGTCGACTTGGACGAGCCGCAGCTCATCTCCAGCTCAGACGAGTCGGAGCAAGACTCCTCGGTTTTCTCGGCGGCCAGCTTGGCCTGTCGTCTGCGGCGCATCTGCTCCACGCGCCGGCGCGTCATCCAGTAGTCGTAGGCCACATAGCTGATCACCATGAACACGACGATGCCGATGAGGAACTCGATCAGGTACTTGGCGTGGAACTGGAACTCTGAGCGGTGCACGTTGAACGACAGCGGGTTACGGTAGTAGAGCAGCGTGTCGCACGGCACGTATAGCCGCTTCTGGATGCCCACCTGGATCTGCAGCAGCGCCTCCGCCTCCGTCTCGTTCTCCGGCTTCATCACGAAGAAGAGCGTGGTGTTGGGTCCGCGCGCGCGCAGCATCATGTAGCCGCCGCTCTGGAGAACGGCGTCCGAGCAGAGCACGCGCCGCCGGTACTTGTGCACACCCGACTGGAAGTACAAACGAAACCGCTCGCACGCGTCACGCATCGAGAACGGCAGCACGCCCTGCGAGCGCAGCTGTTTGTAGAGCGCGCTGGCGTCCACTCGGATAACGGGCGCGTAGCCGCGGCAGTAGAAGCCCAGGTCCCGCCACTTGGACTGGATGGTGATGGTGCACAGGTAGGGCGGCTCGGAGACGATATCCAGCTCGATGTCCTTCAACCGGAAGTAGGTGACGCCGCCGGCGTGGCCGCGCCGCAGCAGGATCTTCTTGTGGCACCCGTAGAACCCCTTGGGCACCTCCTCCTTCTTGGAGGCGGCGCTGCACGTGACGCCCTCCCAGCCGTCACGGCAGCGGCACTTGCAGTCCTTGGTCAGACCCATCACATTCGGATACTTGGCGGTACGTTTCTGGCAGACTCGCAACTGGCTACGACATTTCTGCCCATAGACCTTCTCCTCACACTTATTAAAATCGTTGATTTGCGCTACGTCGACGCGGCGCAGCCCGAAGAATGTGTTCTTCCTGTTGTGGAGCAGCGCCTGGTCCTCGGGCCGCGGCGTGACGTGGATCGCCTCGTAGTCGGACGAGCCGGCCTCGATCGTAAAGCCCACGGCGCTGGCGCTCTTCACGTCGAACCGGTCGCTGAGCTCTGACTCAGATGTGAAGCAGTAGCCGTGCTCGGCGCGGACACCCTTATCGGCCAGCATGAAGTTGGAGTGCATCAGCTGGTAGCCGAGACCGACGGCCAGCGTGATGAGGCGCAGAGACATGGACGGGCTGAGGCACGTCTCGTTGATAACGATCCGCTGCGGGTTGGAGCCCGTCCCCAGCAGCGAGTAGCAGCCGTCCCCGGACTCGATGCAGATGGCGTTGGTCACCTGCGGTACGGGCGTCTTGCAGTCGCCGCCGACCACACCGCGCGCCTGCTCGATCACCACGCACGTCTTGCTGTTTACCTCCTCGAAGGCCATCGCCATCCATTTCTCGGCACTGTCGAATGGTGGCTTGGCTTCCGAGAAAAAGTACGGTATTGTGACCTTGTCATCTCTCATGGGCCACGCGAAGAGCTTTTGATCGACGATGTCCTGAAAATCCTTTGTACCTTCCCCTAAATTTTCCAAGCTGATGAACTGATTGTAAAGCAATAGCCCGTTCCCATGCTTGGATCCGGTAAGGCCATAAAAGCCCAACCGACTTTCTTTCAGTGCTCGCCGCATTCTTGATAGTTCCGATCTATTCTTGACTACAGCTGTTGCTAATGTTTTGAATTTCCTCAAGAAGTGTCTCGTTCCATTTGAGACTATTGTTTGGTGCATAAGATCATCCGTGGGATCGGAAAAACGAGCAATTTTTGCGCTGACCATTGGGGATGAAAGGGAAATATGCTGGATTTCCGACTGCTCATTGTCCGTTCGCTTCGTAGAAGGAAGAATATTTCGGCAGACACACATTCTTATCACTGCTGACAATAGCAGCACAATAATTAAGCTACTGTATCTCCTACGTGTCATCACTACAACATAAAATAAAAGAGATAAAAGGCAAAAAATGTTAATGCTTGCACGTCTTTTTGGGCCTTGTTCTTTTCCTTTTCAGATGTACGCAGCTTTAGCACGTGCAAAAACCGCGTCTAGTCCCCGGGGTAATATTGCACAGTTTGTCGTTGAAGGCTGGTTGAAGGAATATGAATTCAGAATTTCGCAGCCATCGACCAAAGGCGCTTGGAATTTCAACATTTGTTCCGCTTGCCATTTCCTAATTTACCACACATACTGATGGAATGATAAATCTAGTCTGCCCATCACCACCTACACCGACGTTAGCCTAGAGTACCCAAATGACTATTCCAACCAACGTCTTTCCATCGCTCTACGAAGGGACAAAGCGATCTCAGAGCGAGGAAAGACAATTTCTCCGAACGATCCGCGGCACGTCGGTAGCAAAACCACAAAAGGACTTACCGCCCTCCGGATCTCTGCCCGAGAGGCGCGTCAGTAAGACTTGCCTGCTGGAGCCCCCTCCAAATGTGGAGGCTTATCGAACAAGCATCCGCCAGCAACAGTGAATACTCGGCAGCCGGCCCATCGGGACAAAGTGAAGATGTGGAATATTGCGATATTTTGACAATTCACGTAAAAAATAAGTTTTTGTGGTCTAAACCATGGCGAATTCAAATGCAAAATCCTCATCAAATCTCCCAATCAAAATGAAAATCGTCAAAATTATACCGTCATTATTTTCATTCATCAATCGATGGCCTACACATCCGATGTGCTAACTCATGACCTCAATGCCTTGCAAAGCTAGTAAACGTCGCCAAATACCAGGATCTCCCAACTCCTAAAAAAGGTAGGTAATACTAGCATATGACACCATCAGAAAAAAATGTAACAACACATGATCCCCCAGTCCCCGCGTCACTAGCCTTGCGCCATCCGCGAGTGTCCGGCTCACAGCTCGATGGTCTTCTTTGATTTCATTTTCTTCATTCCCCGGGCGACCGCCCTGGTGAGAAGGTTGTTCCCAAACAGACGAATCTTGAAACCGTCCACGCGCGTCTCGAAGACGCTGTGCTCCTTCGGAATCACTGCAAAGGGGATCAACGGTAACAGTTAATTCGACACATGGTATTGGTGTCACTCAAACTGGTCAGAGTCAAGCTGTTTGTAATGCCTATGTTAGCTAGTGCACATTGCACATGTGCACCAGCTACATATTCAATCAGTGATAAGGTCTCCGCTGTTAGAACCATCCCACCACCACCCTCTCATCACGCTGACTCACTTTTCACGGTATTATCGGCAGTGATGAGCTGGAACGTGCCTCTCGTCTCCAGCAGCACTATGCCGGTGACTCCGACAAACGAGTGGCAGCGCGAGCGGAGCACCGTGAGCCGCGCGCCGTGGTAGTCGGCGCGGCACAGCTGCAGGTGACGCTGCTCCGTGCGCGTGTCCCACGGCTCCGCGCGGAACCTGCCACAGGCGTGAGGGTGGGTGGGGAGAGCGGAGCTAGAGGGGGCAGCGGCAAGAGACAGTCTGCTGATGAAGCGCTAAGAGCCAGAGAATGGCATATGGCGAAATGAAATTGAGAATGCTCGGAAGTCTCTACCGTTGCAAGACTCACTCCCGTTGCCCAACGCGCAGCGTATTAACCCGCGAGTTGCTGGGGGGGGGGGCGTTAAACGCCCCCACTTTTTTCGCCGGGCTATAGCATAAAAACGGCGCGCCGCAGGCGCGCCAAATTTTGCGTACCTGTAGGGAATCGATTGAAGTTTATTTTGACAAAGTTTAAAAAAAAATCGGTCGGAAAATTTTTGAGATATCGAGGTTTTAGTGACGTCATGATTTCTGAGTTTTCGACCAAAAACGGCATATGTTCAAAAAATCATATAAAATCACAGAATAGACATATACAGACATGCCGTAAAAGCCATCAGACTGCCAATACTATGAACAATCAAATGGCTATCTTCGATTATTGATTATCGTTCCGCATTTTCCAAAATCTTGAAGTGAATCTTGGCAATTTCTCGTGACGTCTTCACGACCATGATACATGCATTTCTTAAATTTAACTTTTTGAGCCAAACACGTACACATATGATAAAATTAATGTCACCATCGTGTTCTACGCCCCAAATTACCCATAAAACATGTGTCACAGGCTGCGAATATCAGTTCTGATTTTCGGGGATATGTGCCTACCCGGTTGACCTGACCTTGACCCTGACCTATGCTTGACTGACCCCTACATGGAGCTGTCACTCTTGTAGGCCTTATATGATGGATTGTGCACCGTTTTGACAGAGTTTATGACGAGAGGCGCCCATTGCGAGGTCCTGAAGTCCATGCTACTGAAAGCCCGATTTCAGGTGTTTGACCTGACCTTGACCCGACCTGTGACCTCAAAATTCAAATTTAAAGTACTCATCTGAAGCGTCTCGTCGCGTTCTTTCGTTTGCCGCCTCGTGCGTTTCGCTGCGCCTATTGGTTCTCGAGTTATCGGCTGGGGGCGTTTAACGCCCCCCCCCCCCCCCAGCAAACGGTGGGTGGCGAAATACCCCAGCAACTGCCGGGTTAACAACCCGGTTTACATAGGGTTTGTTGCAAGCTTATATCTCCGTCCGTGATGTTGCAAAAGATGTCAATGGTGCTTAACAATTTACAAAATGATCCCCTCTAAATATTTGAAGACCACTGCATCGAAATTATCGCCAAATTAACAAGCTAGAGCCTCGTCAAATATGCTATGTAAACCGGGTTAACGTTAACAGAAAAACCGCACCCCTATTCAACGAATAAGCAGTCGAGGAGTGCCAAACAAATAAAGCATTGAGGTGTGAAAACGATGATACAATCTAGTACCCTGCATAGCAGACTGTCAAACCCTTCCCACAGTTCCGTTACTCACTCCGACCGATTCAGTGTGTCTAGGTCGAGGTAGTTCCTCATATACTGGTGCCACAGATCGTTCAGGGGCACGTAGTCGGCGTATTTCAGGCCGGTGCGGTCCAGCTTGTGGAAGCCGAGCTCGCGACGGGAGCGGGACGTTAGCGCCCCCTTCCGCAGCCGCACCTGCGGCTTCTTCTTGGGCTTCTGCCTCTTGGACATGACGATACTCTGGGGAAAATGGTAGAGTAGTGCAGGGGAACTGTGCCAGCGCACGTATCACTAACACACAAAAGGAGCTGTAAGGGTTAAATGTAAAGGACAATTGAAACAAAGAATCGCAATTTGGATAATGCTAGGTGAGTAATTTGAGGTAAGTTCACTGATCTCACCTTTGTCAGAAATCCTTCTTCAATGTTCTTGGCATCTTTGCTTGGTACATTGGCATTGATGAAATTCTTAACCAGTTCTGCCATTGTCTTCCAAATGAAGAACTTGAGAAAAATGAACAGCTTTGAGCTAAATATGTCCAAATTCAATGAAGGTTCTGAGTTACTTCTTCAGTACAACGAGCTGGAAAGTAAATAGCATTGCAGATTAGGAAATTATCATGGCCAATCCATTAAGCTTTGGTTTTGGGCCTGAGGTCAACAGTCAGTTCATATGTCCTAAATTCAGGTTTCAGCTACACACACTGAGACATTGGTAAATGTCACATTTACAAATGCATGCATGATTACCAAACATTCACTAAAGCGCTTTCTCTGAATTTAGGGAAATGCTGTCTTAGAATGAAATCAAAGTAATATTATCCTGGAATTTCATCATTTCATCTGCTTTAAAGTTGTTAGCTTAGATAAAATGACTTGGCATAGGTGAAGCCAAACATTTTTTCAATGGATTTTCAGTGGCCTGCTGGATAGTGGATGCTCAAATTAGATAGTGACTTTAAAATTTCAATTTAATTTATGGCACAACCTGCAGCATGCAGGGTCAAATCACATTTGTGATACAGTAGGCAAATGGATCCCTTGTCCATGTTTGGTGTGGGAAGTCTCTATACCAAGGCTGAACTCTGTCAGCCTTTTCACTTGACTGTCTGAAACAGAAGAGAGAATCTGGCCTTGGCAGAAGATCGCTGAAAATAACTGGGGAATAAGGAGTGTTAGCTCAGTTTCAGAGACTAGCACTAAGCCAGAGCCAGACAGCATGAGCAGTGCCAGCGAGCACCCCTGCTGTTGATCACTGACTCAGTGATCAATCAAGTGATCAAGTGATCAACAGTTGATGTAGAGACACAGACCTGATACCTTTGATAATACCCTTCAGTACCCTGTCCTGTCCAGTAGCACCCACATCTTAAGGGCACAACCTATAACCTTTACATCCCAGAGTAGAAGCCTTCTGACTTGATGGCTGAGCCAAAATAAATATAGTTTAACCGGTTTAACCAAGAAATCTGGCCTTCAGCCTGAAAATTACAGCTTGTTTTCCTGATTTAAGGCTTGCTCAGTCCTACAATCGAATTGAAGCTTATCAGAGGCCAATTTTACCAACAGAAAAATAGCCGCCTCAGCCTGCCAGAATTTTTGTCTATAGACAGCTTCACATATGGAGCGTAAACCCAATGGACATGTAAGCGGATAGGGCTTTGTCTTTTATGCTCAGTATGTGAAGCAGTCTTAAGGCAAAAAATTCTGGCAGGCGGCTATTTTTCTGTTGGTAAAACTGGCCTCAGGCCTTTTAACCCAAAATAAATAAAAGCCAAGCAATTGAAATGAATAGCAAGCTATAAAGTAAAATCAAAATAAGGACAAAATTTTGAGCTGGCCAGTGTAAGAGGTATTTAAGCTTAACAATTCACATGCATTTTGATTCAGAGCTTAGCAATTAGATGGACTAAAATTCTACAATAATGCCAAGTTGATTTATCCACTATAATTTGGGCATAATTTGTATAGCAGCAGGTTCACTTGTATTCAGAGATTATTTACTCAATGTAACAAGAGACGAAGCGCGTCCTCCCGCTATTTTATTTAATTTATTTTAAGCACCGCACATGACATTACGGACATTACCACATCAAGTATCTACCCAAGATACCTATAAGACCAATCACAAGGCGGTGTTTTTCCACTTAGATTCTTTTTGATTTGTATCTTTCCATTGATAATTTCAATTATATACTGAAAAGGTTTTTTCTTTCTTACGCTTTCGGAAGGTAAGGTTGAGGTGTGTGGATGGCATAGGACTTAAGATGGGGCCTAATAGGGCCAGTAAGAGGGTAAGGGCCGATGATCTGACTGATAGTTTCTGGGGGGAGGAGGAGTCTCAGTCTGGATCCTACCTCTCAGTGAAGCTCCTAGCAGGTAGATCTCCTAGAGAAAAGGGATGGCCATGGATACAACAATGCATCAGAGGGATTCTTGGGGGCACGGAGAAAGTTGAAAAGGCTAGCTTCATGAGTGATGGACGGTTGCTGGTGAGGACTAAGACTAGCACCCAGACTGAGAAACTTCTCAAAGCTCGGATGTTCGGAGACATGGAATGTGTTGTAGAACGAGAGGAGAGACTAAACCAGAGTCGGGGAACTATCCATGCAGTAGACCTGATTGATCTGTCTGAGGAAGAGATTGTTGGATGGCTGACGGAATTCGGGGTGGTGGCCGCTAGGCGATTTACCAGGAGAACCGGAAGCCGTATCGAAAGAACCCCAACTATCCTTCTTACATTCAACAGACCCACGTGCCCCACAAAACTTGACTTTGATTATGTGACCTACAACGTGAGGCAGCATATCCCGAACCCATTGATGTGTCTACAGTGTGGGAGATTTGGCCACATTCAGGCCAGATGTCAATCAGAGGTGAAATGCCTCACATGCGGGGACAAAAAAACATGACGGCACATGTGAGCAGAAATGTCTCCACTGCGGGGATACTGGGCATGATGGGCTCTCTCGGCAGTGTGAAGTGTGGAAAAAGGAGAAGCGTGTATGTGAAATCAAGGTTAAAAAAGATGTGTCCTATGCACACGCCCGCCGTATCATCGCGGCTGAAACCAGCTCCCCTACCTTACGATCCTATGCTTCGGTAGTAAGGGGTAGTAGTGATCCGCCATCCGACCCAACATTTAACCCGCGCCCCACTGGGGTCTGTGTATAACACGCCCTACTGGGGGGGGGGGGCTATTCATAGCCCCCCCTCCTAACTCCGAAACTACTGGGCCGATCGTCAAAATTCAAACGGCGTCTGATAGCCCCGGAAAAACTGTCGAGCGAAACCTAATTTCATTGACCTCGAGGTCACCGATGACGTCACAGGTCAGGTCAAAGTAAAAATTATTAGCACTTTGGCTTGTTCACATTTTGGGCTCTGGCCGCCGGCTTACAAGTCAAAGCAGGCTCATTTTTGGTTTCCACACTCGTGAACAGATGCTCTAGATACCTTGAGGGTACCAAACTTGTACTTTGATTTTCAGGTCAGGGTCAGGTCATCACAGGTCACGAAAATATTATATCATGCGTCGGTCACGTGACACATGTTTTATGGTCCATTTAGGCCATAGATTTCGAATTTGATGTCGTCTGTGCCATTCAAGGTCATTTTGAGTCGAAATTAGCTTAGTTCAGGTCACTTTCAGGTCAAAAAAGGTCAAATTTTGAAGTTGAAATTTTTCAACAAAAAAGGTGTCTATTGGATGCAGTTTGAGCTCAGGAACACGATGGTGCCATTTATATTGGTGTACGATGCCAAATACGTACTGAAAAATTGATTTGAAAAATTAATAATTGTGAATTTTTTGCAATAATGCGTATAACTTGGCCATTTTTGAAGATATTTAGCTAAAACTTGCTAGAGTTAGTCATAATCATGCGTTCTGTCACATATATTCCGGTTTTTTTCGAAAAGTCAAAAACTTTTTGAAAAAATATAAAAATATAAATTTTGAATATTATTATATAAAATTTTCAAAATTTTCAAAATTTTGAAAATCCGAGATAGCAGTTTGATAGCGCGGTCAATTCTGAGTCCTTTCATGCAAAGAAATTGGATCTAGCTTAAAAACTGAGCTCTTGGGAGCGATTGCCGTGGTTCAATGTTTTGCGTCGAAATCGGACGAACATGACGTCACTCTGACGTCATTTCCGGCCGACCTATGGTAGCTATGAAGTTCAAATATTGACACAAGGTGTCAAATTGGTGCAGCCAAAGGTACTGAAAGTTTGGCGTCGATTCGGCAAGTGGTTTGGAAGTTATTGCAGAAAAACGGGAGGGGGGGCTATAAATAGCCCCCCCCCAGTGGGGCGCGGGTTAAGACTGAACTCCGTGTGATTGGGGAGAAACTCGACAAAATGATCACTCTTCTGGACAGGGTCCTTAAGCTTCAAGGGACTGAGGCTGAGGCAAATCAAACACCAACAAAAGTGCAAACGGGGACAGGAGAGCAGGAAGGTGCTGAGGACACTCAGACCCAGTCACAGCCTGACATGTTCATGGACCCCATGGAATCCCAATTGGTGGCAGAGGGCTCACAGGAGCCCTCACCACCCTCAGACACTGAGAGGAGCACTCCACCAACAAACAAAGACACTCTGGCTGGTTCCTCTCAGCGAGTGATCCGACAGAGCTGGACACCGCAGGTGACGCAGAACACAGATGAAGTCGAGGAGAGGAGTGAAAGAACCCAAAAAGCCCATCCTGACTCTGAGCAGTCATCAATGACAGAGACATCAGATATCCCTGCTGATGGGGTATCGCCATCCCCTGAGCTTGTCAAAAAACGTCAAGGAGGGAGACCTGGAAGGGACAGGCGAATGCCCAGCCTGACCAGGAAACCCAAACCCTAACGTAACTTTTAGCACTAAAACACAAAACTCTTTTTTTCTTCTTTTTTCTTTTTTTTTAACGTAGAATCAAGACGTCTTTATTTCTACTTATATTTCGGTTTGTTAACTTACATGTGCTGATCAAACAACCACACAAGCTGAGGTGGTTGATGATCAGCTATCTTGTTTCCTATGGAAAATGGTACAATATCAGCATCATGACTGATACGAACCAGATAGTAGCAGCCAGCCCATTTATTCCCAAGGAGTGGGAACTTATGAGTGGTGAATTGTGTTCTGGCTCGACTAAGAAACTCTGACAAGGGTCCTACAATGGAATGCCAGAGGACTGATCGGAAAGTGGGCAGAAGCCAAACAAATGTTCTTGGACGGTAATTACCAGGTGATCTGTATTCAGGAATCTCACTTTATGGCCAATGACAGATATTGTTTTGACTTACCACATTATTCCTTATACAACGCATACTCACCTCAAGGTGACAGGAGAGGAGGTGTATCGATATATGTATCAAATCGCCTGCCGCACATGGTATTACCTATACAGAGCAATTTACAGGTGGTAGCCTGCTCCGTAAGGCTACAGAGGGAAAGAATTACATTCTGTTCATTGTACTTGCCCCCAACTGACAACTTCTCATTTCAGGATATATCCCTATTAATCCAGCAACTCCCTAAACCATTTGTAATATGTACAGATGCAAACAGCAAACATTTCATGTGGGGAGCTGCGCAATGTGACAGACGGGGTTGCATCTGGATGGATGTTGTCAACCATCATAACCTACATGTTTTGAATGATGGACAGCCAACTAGACTGGATGAATCCACAGGAGATACGTCCCACATCGATTTGACAGTGGTATCAAACGATATCTCTCACATACTTGAATGGGACACTGAAAAAGACCTATATGCCAGTGACCACTACCCCATACGTATAGATGTCGGTAATCCTACTGTCTACACGAACTTGCCCCCTGTTTTTTATGGATGGAACACGAGGAAAGCTAACTGGACGGAATTTGAAATGAAATGTGATTTCAAATTCAATCCTAACCTTGGACTGGAGAACTGTGATGAAATAACTCAAACTATTATTGACACTGCCCAGAAGTTTATACCCACCCGAAATGGTAACACCAAATACTCGTGTCCGTGGTGGACGGATGACTGCAGGAACGCAATTCTGACTAGAAGGAGAGCTCATAACAGAATGAGGAGAGACCCTCATTCCCAATTCCTACGAATTGAGTATAGGAAAGCGAAGGCTAAGACACGACGGACTATTAGAGATGCACAGATCCGCTCATGGCAGGAGCTGCTATCAGTGTTTAACCACAGAACCCCGATGGGGAAACTGTGGGATATAATCCGTAAGTTCTCGCAGAAGCATCGATACATGAGACCTCTCCCAGTTATTATGCATAATAACGAGATTATTGACGACCCTACTGAGGTGGCAAATCACTTCGGGAGGTATTTCTCGAATATGAGCTCGAGATCGAACTACCCCCAAGCCTTTCTTGACTGGGAACGTGAATTAGCAGAAAACTTACCTGAATTTGGGGATGAGAACTACGAGGATTACAACAAAGAATTTACAATGAGAGAACTTACTGACGCTATTAAACGATCTGGCTCTACATCCATCGGGCCGGACAAGGTTCACTATGATTTCTTCCGACATATGCATGAGACACAGCTGATTGAACTGCTTCGTTTTTATAATTATGTATGGGTGAATGACGTGTTCCCCGACGCATGGAGACATTCTTACATCATACCCATCCTTAAGCCAGGGAAAGACCGCAACCAAATGCAATCGTACAGGCCTATCCAACTTACCTCTTGTATGTGCAAATTACTAGAGAGGATGATTGGTAAGAGACTGTCATGGTACCTTGAGAAATATGACCTTATATCGACATATCAATGTGCGTTCCGATCAGGAAAGTCTACTGGGGACCACCTAGTGAGACTTGATTCGCACATACGGGAAGGATTCCTTCACCACTGTTCCACCCTCGGTGTGTTCCTAGACATTAAGTCAGCATATAACATGGTCTCCCCAACGGTTTTGCTGAATAGAATGTATGATATCGGCTTCCGGGGCCATATCATGCATTTCATTCGAGGCTACTTGCAAAATAGGACATTCCAAGTGAGGTGCGGAGAGGTATCAGATACGTTTGAGCAGGAATATGGCGTTGTCCAAGGAGGGGTGATCTCTCCATTGCTTTTTAATATTGTGATTGACTCTTTGATTGACGCAATACCAAGAGAGGTCTCTGCTGCTATATACGCAGACGATTGCACTATCTGGGCGCAGGGAAAAGATATCCCACTTATATTTCAGAAAATCCAAAACGCTTTAACCAGAATAGGACAGTGGTCAGAGCGGAACGGTTTTGTATTTTCCCCCATGAAGACTAACGCCGTTTTGTTTAGAAGAGGTTTAAAACGAGTGAACCAGAACCAACTACCTACTCTCAAACTCAACGGTCACCCTATTTGTATTGTGGACCAGGTCCGTTATCTAGGCGTCTTACTTGATTCGAAACTGAGCTTAAATGGGCACATAGAATATGTTAAAGGAAGAGCTCAGAAACGAATGTCGATACTGAAAAGCATTGCCGGAAAAAGCTACGGTGCCGACAGAACTGTGTTATTACGCATGTATAAATCCCTGATCCGACCAATACTCGACTATTCATCTTTTATTTTGGATGGGCCAGGGACTCGGCTTGTGGAGTCCCTTGAGACTATTCAGAACACGGCACTCCGCATTGCCACTGGTGCCTTGCGGACTTCCCCTGTAAGAGCATTACAAGTGGACACGAACGTGGAACCCCTCAGCATTAGACGCCGAGACTTACTAGCCCGGTACTACCTGAAAGTAAAAAGTGATCACAACCACCCCTGCTACCACATAATGGATTTAGACGCTTATGAACTATATGAAGATCTCTCCGACCGCTACTTGCGGAGGATATCGGGTCTCCCAGTATCACTACGACTGCGAAAGCTTTTTACCGAAATAGACTATAATCCTCCCGACATATTGTCTAAGGAAAATGGTATTACAGCACCATGGGTGTTGCACACCGTCCCCACACAGATGCTCATCTCTCAAGACAAAAGACATATGACTGAGACAGATATATTGACTGCTTTTCACGACCTGATGGACAAATACCCGGACCATAGGAAAATGTACACTGACGGATCCAAGCGGAACAACTCAGTAGCATGTGCTTTCACAGTGAACAGTGCCTTTTTCTCACATAAGCTGCGTGATGGGTTATCTGTGTATACCGCTGAACTGGTAGCTGTAAGAGAAGCGATGAAGTTTGTGCGACGTAACCAAGTACCCAAAGCGCTCATATGCTGTGACTCCCAAGCGGTTATCAAGGCTCTCACAGTGCAGAGCCGTGATCATCCGGTCTTGGTGGAGATCCTAGAGATAAATCATAAAAATGTACGAGATGGCATCGATTGCATCGTTGTCTGGGTTCCAGGACATAGTGGCATAGCTGGTAATGTCAGAGCTGACTACTGGGCGGGAAAGGCTCATGATAAACCTAATGTGACTGATGTAAAAATAGGACATCGGGAATTTGTGCCACTGGTGAAGAGTCGCGTCCGTGTGTTATTTGAAAATCTGTGGTTAGATTATCGTCCAACTCTACTGAAGCAGATTAAGACAGATATAGGACATTGGAATTCTAGTGTACGTGCCAGTCGAAAGGAGGAAGTGGTTTTGTGTAGGATGAGACTCGGACACACTATTTTAACTCACTCGCATGTTATTGACCAACTACCGCCTATTGTCTGTGAACTGTGTCAATGTCGCCAAGATGTTCAACATATACTGTTAGAATGCCGAAAGTACACTGTAGCGAGGAGGAGACTCGCAGAGGCGTGTCGAGATGTCGGCGTCCGCATGTCGCTGGGGATTCTCCTGGGAAACGGTGAACCCACGGTGGTGGATGCAGTGTTCGATTATCTTCGGCAGTGCAACTTATACGACAAACTCTGAACAAAGGACGTAGAGGCGTTATGGGTGCTAAGTGATGATAATGAAATGTATTTTGTTTCCATATGTGCTATGGCTTCAGATAAGCTCGATACAATCCTTCATGTTATGTTGAATCCAAGAACCATGGATTAGGTATTTCTAGTTAAAAAGAGTGGATTACTACTCGAGCTCATGCATTCATGGTTTAGCAATACTTCATCCATGGTCACGTTGTAAGAACACCTGTCTGAAATGTCTGAAATTGGTTGGGTATGTTATGTGTTTCTATGTCACCCCCATACTGTGAAGTGAAATCCCTAAGTATCGTGTAACCCCCATGTCAAGACCCAAGTTTTGTGTCTTTTTTTCTTTTTTCTTTCTAGATAGAACCATGCCTTCTCCCAGAGCGCCTTTTGCCCCCTTGAAGAATGAGCTGTATTGCTCTTCCTGCTTACCGAGCTGTTTGGCTATCCCCAAGTAGCTAAGACTGTAAGTAGCATTGTAGTATTCACAACTAATATTAACTTCTCTGTTCTCTCCTCGCCCAGGACATATCCTACCAAGGCTATCTCCTAACCATCGCAATTTTTCCTCTCCCCAGTCATTCCTCATCCCTACCCGGAAACCTGCTTAGTTCCGCTTAGTACCACAACCATACGCCAACTGCAACTCTGAAGACTACAAGAGGACATACCAACTTGGAAGTTGGACGCTTGAGCCAAGCTGATGCGCGCCCTAACTCTTCAACAACAACAACAACAAGACCAATCACGTGTGTCAAAAGTTTCGTGTATTCTTCTGTTCTATCAATAATTTGCAGGTGTAGATCGACAGCAAATGCAAGCTGTTATCGAATCAAAAGCCAAGACATTTATTGAGAACAGAAGCTACTTCTATTTGCGAACAATTGTATCGTACCTACCGCGTCATGTTTGTACGAAACTGATACTGCCATATGGAAGGAAAAAGAAAATCCTTTGTGGGTACAGAAATCCGACGATGGCACTTTTCGCCTATTTTTCCACCAAGGCGATCACACTAGAAATCATATGGTCGCTCTCGCTACCAAGGCCGTATAAGTCGCTACAAGGAGATCGCGACTCAGTGTAGTAAAGACTTTATGCAGTTGCTACAAAAAGATCGCGAAACGTTTATGTTATGCCACATAACCAGTTCCGAGCCCTTCCACTGCCTCGTGTGACGTGTTGGCTGTTGCAACGCATTCAAAGCTAATGAAGCGTCACGACTACTACGAGCATCTTCAAGCGTAGCTCACGCGGCCACGCCACCGCGCATCTTTATTTTCCGTCAACAGACTCGATAAATAAGCGTCATGTATTTGGTATTGCACATCGTCGTCTGCACGCTGTCAATAGAATAATCATAGCACAACATCACCGCCACATAACACGCAGCACATTCTCGGAAACGACCTCGCACCGACTGGGCCAGGGTAAGTAACAAATGAACCTCTCGCCCGTACACCCCCGCCAGGGCCTATTCTCCCGCTCACCGAATCATCATCCCATAGGGATATTACAAACGGCAGCAGGTGACGTCATCCGCGCGTGTACCTATCCAATCACAGGTCGGCGCTGAAGCGAATGTCTTCGCTCACCTAGAGTACTTAGTTCGGCAACGATGCACAGGCAAAAGTTCTTGCACACGTCGTGTGCGCGTGAATGAAAATCGCTGATCACTGCAGACATATGAAGGTGAGATATGAGTTGCCTACGACTTCGATTGAGGCACGACAGAGTTTGATAGACATGACAAGCACAAGAAGGATCACGAATAGTCCACAGATTGAGTCATGGATACGGCGTCATGACAACACTAGCCGGTCGTATAGAGTACAAGTTTAACCACAAGACTCGACCCACCCGCTCCTGGAATGGAGCGTACGGCATTAAAGCTCGCTGGCTCGGCGCATCCGAGAAAATATCAGACTGTCTCGCAGTCTGAACTCAGACTCAGTCTGCTGAACTTCGCTACACACAGCCATAAACCGTCGATCTTTGGTCTCTAGGCAGCTAGTCGCGGGTCGGTGTCACACACCGACCTCCAGTCCGATCCACATCAGATACAATTTCAAAGACTCCAACACTCTGACCTGGCTCTTACCAGCCAAGTCATGCTCTCACCAGCCATTCGGGCTCTTACCAGCCAAGACAGACCCTCGCCACCATCTCACAGTCTTCCTTTTCTAACATCCCCTTCCCCACCATCTCACACATCCAAGTCGGTAACGGAACGCTCTTCTCCAACCAGCGGCGTCATCTCCACCACCGTCGTCCGCCGTGGCGTGCCCTCCCGACTCTCCGACTTCTTATCGAAGCTCTCCTGCCGGTGTAGCTCGGGTCTGACAATCTCCACCAGAGGGGTCACCTCACTGAGGGCCTCCCCGTTCGGAGTGGGCCGGGCGCGCTGAGGCAGAGTCCGAGACAGATACTCCTTGAGCTGGTTTAGTTTGTGGCGTGGAGAGCCGGGCGTGGCGGCCCGACTTCCCGCCGTCGCGGCTGCCTCCGAGTGGCAGGACCCCAGCGACAGGCGGTCCGGGTCGTCCGTACAGGTCAGCGGCACGGAGGGCGGTGAGCGCGGGTCGACCGAGGAGCCCACCAGACTGGAGGGGCGCACGGAGCGGACCGAGATGGTGCGCGGCCGGCGCCGCTCCGGACTGGCCGCGCCGCCCACCGAGCTGGCCCTGAAAAGACAGAACGGGTCAGTGAGGGCCGGGGAGTTCGGTAGAGGTGCATGAAGGGTTAGGTGACGGGCAGTTGGAGCCAGCAGATGGGAACGGTGGCAAACAATAGTCGGAGGGTCAATACACCTTTTTGCGTTGTTCGATGGCCAATCGTCATAACCGTTTCGGCATCAGTTTGAACAAGCGTCATTCAGCATAACCCATCGGCGACGTGCATCACTGTTTGACGGTCGGCAAAACAGGCTGGACTCCATTTAACCATTCTGCATAACTCTTTGTCATTGAGCACAATGTTCGTCATAGGCAAAACACTTTGTCAGATTGTCATAATGCTTCGACATTTCACAAAATGGTTAGTCGATGTGCAAAATTCATCGGTACTGTGCGTAAACAATGACTGTTTATTTAAAACTTTCGTCAATGATCAAAATGTCAATGATGTAGTGCTTATCTAGCCATATTCAATGTTTAACGTTAATCACGCATTCAGGGATGAGGCTTATGACAGTTCCAGCGCAATTTGCAACCATTGCAACCAACCATTGAATTCCGAAAAAGGCAGTTATGCCATAGCTACGAGGAGACTGCCGGCGCCATACCGAGTAGGCATGTAGGTTCTTGAGCGTCGGACTCCTAAACGCTTCGATACAAACCACGAAGTCGGCCGTCATTATCGCGTCACTGCCCGTGCGATGTCATGGGACAACGCTTCGGGCGGCCGCGCCGGTCGGACTCGCGAGGGAATGGCTGACAGATGGCAAGCCGGGCCCTGCCGGCCGGACACCTTGGTTTGAGGCGGGGCTGACTTATCCAGCCTGTTGCCTGTTCCTTGGTATTTGAGGCGGGGTTAACTTATCCAGCCTGTTGCTCTGTTGCCTGTCCATTTATCAATCAGCCGATAACATGTCAGCTATACGTCCATCTACATTGTACCTATGGCGCTCATGAACGCTACCGATTTTTATGTGGATCAATGGTCTACGAGTTTCGCCACCTATGCCTCGCACTGCACTGTATAAACGCGGTCATGTTTATACTTCTCTGTAAAGGGGCGATCTGTTTTTAGTTTTGACGAAATGTTATGAGGAATGCCGAAATTAGCATGGGGATGTTTTGGTGAACGACGAAGGGATATTAACGAATGACGAAGCATTTATCCAAATCGTCAAAGGTTTTGCCGGAACTCAATCAGTTATGGCGAATAGCGAAGGTAATACCAACTGACGAACTGTGGAGTGGGATCAGCATTCCGTTTTGCCCATATGCCGAAGGTTTTGCCGGAATGCCTCTCACTGGCGCCACCTATGTGCTGATCGGACGAATGGCTTTTGCTGATTGGCCATCGAACAACGCAAAAAGGTGTACTAATCTATGACATGAAAACAATATATAAATCGATGTTCTGGTGAAAGAGTGGGGCAAATGATAATGATCGCAAAATCGAGATGCGGTTGGTTGGCGAATACAATACATAAGTTTTCATAGCAATAATGAAGCCAGAGGCGAAACAAAAGCGAGGCTTTGCCATTAACCCATTTATGCCCAGGAATATTGACCATCATGAAAATCGACGAAATCAAAATATGTTATGCTCCTACCAGGGCCTTGTATGGAATCGAAAATAATTTTTGCCTGCAGCAAAAGTTTCTCGAGAAAAACGTAAAAAACATGCGTTGCGAAATCGCAACGAAGGGCACACCGGGCGCCATCAGCGTTGCGAAAACGCAACGACGGGCACATCAGACGGACATAAAGTACACTGAACTGCCGTATATGCTAATATGTTTTGACAAAACATCAATCAACTGTTGACAACTATTGCTTGAAAATGCGGAACCCACATCCGTCATGCTCTATAACCCGCCTAAGAGCCTCAGTGAGGAAGCATAACTTCATGATTCGCGAACGGGGAGATGGCAACACGGTCATTATCAACCATTTACGTTGTCCATTGCTGTTCATTTAAAGTTGTGGTCGACACGTATCCAGGGTGATTGATGCTTTCTTTTTGGAAGCTAGACAGATCCATTACCTCCACCTATCAGACCCTGCACAGTGCACACTGAATACAATTAAACGGAGGATTGGGAGTAAACCAGTGCCTCTCGTATGCGCGTATATCCGCAATCATTTTTAATCACCCTCCTTGGAGTAAAGTTAAATTCCATTGCAGGTTAGTCGTACCCACTCTCAGCAAAAAGAAAAAAAGGACCGATCCGGCTCTAACAAATTACTCGCGTAAGGCGTAGCGCATCACAACAAATCGACTCCCAAGTCCCAGTTTATCATGTTTACACCTAATCCAAAATTTTCATGGCCCCACTCTCAGCGACCTTCACGTGTAACCTCTTTCTCGAGACAATGCCAGGACAGAATGGTGATTCGACGTCAATCCGTCCTTTCCATCTTCAGGATAGTTGAATCCTCCTCCACGCATCACCCTTTTCCGGGCTGGACCGGCAACGTATATCGCAATCGGGCAGCTCACATAGGAGCGCGCCTGTAGCCGGGTGCAGTGAGTGCTTGGGAGGGGGGAAGGGGGTGGGTCATGGGTGGCGGCTGCCCACTGGCTGGGCTCAGTCTCCAGTCTACGATTGACCGTGTCCGGTCAGACAAATGTCTCCCCTAATTCCAATAATCCTGCTAGCTCTAAAAATGGTCTGATTAGATAAAAAGCCTATCAAAGTAAGAAAACAGGCGTATATTCCACATCAAGCAGCTTATGAATCTATGCGAGTTATGAATCCTAAAAATTATTATTTTCCCATGGGTCCGCCCTCATTACCCCTGCCGAAGGGCTCAGCTACCCTCAGAGGGGGCCTATCCCACTATTTGCCGACCCTCAGTTATCTTTTCTAACGTAAATGCTGGTAGTCAGCAGATTCTATCCAGAGAATGGCGATGCCTATCTGTCGCCTGATACCAGAATACATCCCCGTTATTCATTATTTATGCACAATGTACATAGTAGATCCAATTTCCAAAGGACCTAATTATCTCTCAGCTCCGTTAGCATCGCCGACCATTTGATGCATGGGTCCTTTTCCTACCATG